GGGCCAGGACCAGAAGTGGTGCTCCTGGAGCCCAAGAAAGGGACTGGGTTGCTCTGGGTGAGAAGGGTCAGGAAGCAGTATTGGTTCCCCAGGTGTCTGGGGCCCCAAGACTAGGAGTGGCGCAGGGCTCAAACTAGGAGTATAGAACGGCGAGGGGGGGGGGATGGAAGGGTGAATGTGGCTTAGGGAGTCCCAGCGCGGAGAGCTACGCTGTAGACTTACCCCAAGAGGCCTGAGGATAGTAGTCCCATGACTGTTTTTATACTGTTAGCAGAACAGTAAATTTGTGTATACCAGCATCTCTCATCACTTCAAACACGAATGACACATTGAGCTGTGTCAATCATTGCCTATCACTAGGCAATAGGAGTTTTTCAGCTCCATTATAATTTTATGGAACTACTGACAATTGACTGAATCTCATAGTATGACACTTTATAGCCATATTCCATATACTGGTAACATATCCAAGTTTTTCATTTACTATATTTAGGAATCATTCCTTATCAGTTTGTAGAATATTAGAATTTTTTTTACAACTGTAAACTACTCTTCCCTCAGTACTTGAGATTGAGTCTGAGGCATCATGCATACTAGGGAAACACTAATACTGAGCTATATCCCCAAGCCTCTTTTACTTGTTATTTTGATGTCCTTTTTTTGCTGGAAATCAAACCAGAGCCTTGTGCATTCTAGGCAAGCATTGTAACAATGAGTTACATCCCTGGTCGTTATTTTCTATTTTGAAATAGGGACTCATTAAATTGCTCAGCCTAGTCCTGAATTGGATTTGTAGCCCAGGCAGGCTTTGTACTTGTGATCCTCCTACATCAGCTTTCTAACTAGCTGGGATTATAGGTCTAGCTCTTTTTGTTTTTTAAAGACAAGGTCTTTCTATATAGCCCTGGCTGGCCTGAAACTCAAAGCAGCCCTCCTGCCTCAACCTCCTGGGCACTGGGATTGCAGGTGTATAACATATTGCCTGGTGTATACACAACTCTGCTGTATGGATATGCTATCATTGCCTCAACTACTCTTTAGTGTCTGACTATTCAGGTTGTTTCCAGGACCATCTGGCAGTTGTAAAGTACAGCAGGACTAGACTGGAGTGTAATACTTCCTTGTTGAGGTATATGTGAAGGCTAATGTCCCACGAGTGGGACTGCTGGGTTTTAAGACAAGTGCACACAGTATATCATTAGGTATTGCCACATTTTTTTTTTCCCAGAAAAGTTGTGTCTGCTGCTATTCCCAGCAGCACTGTTGTTTCCCTATAGCCTTACCAGCAAATGTTTGTTGTCAGTTTCCTTGTCCTTACCTGGTCAGAATGGAATCTCAGTTTTGTCCTGATTTACATTTCTCTTCTAGTGTGACTGAACATCTTTGATGTTTAAGGCCCTTTTTGTATCTTTGTTGTGTATTTTACTTTTTGTTACTGTTAGGCTATTCACTCCAGGCCAGCAACCCTATATACATACCAGGTGTTGATATGATTTTTCTCTTTCAGATCTCCCATGGTGGCTTATTCTAATTCGGCAGAAAGCATTGGTGGGCAAACTCCCAGGAGACCATGAGGTCTGTAAAGTGACCAAAATTGCTGTACTATCACTTTCTGAGATGGAACCTCAGGAGCTTGAGCTAGAGGTAAGGGAAAGTTCAGTGAAAGACTGGCCAAAAGATAACTTATAGAGGAAGCACCTCATGTTGACTTCTGACCACTGCATGTACAGAAAAGCAGGTGCACCTACACACACATGCACACATACTCATATACTCCTTACCCACACATGTACACACAGAAACCAATTATGCCACGTGAGGGGAACTTCATTTTACATTATTTGAAGATCCTCTCTTCCCATTGGGCTAGCAAGAAAGAAAAAAGGGACCCAGGTATTGGAGGCTCATGCCTATAATCCTAGCATTCAGGAAGCTGAGTCAGGATGATCACAAGTTCAAAGTCAACCTGGGCTATATAGCAAGAGTCTCTGTAAAAGGAAAGAGAAAAGGAGTGGAAAGGGAGAGGGAGAGAAGAGAGGAGGAGCAAGAGAAGAGGAGATGGGAGAGGATGTCTGAATAAAAAGAAGTCCTGGCTAGGTGTGGTGGTACACATCTGCAGTCCCAGTACTGAAGAGGATGACACAGGTCTCTGAGCATCACACCAGCCTATGCTACATAGCAAGTCCCTGTCTTAAGAAACAAGAAATGCTTGGCCGGGCATGGTAGTGCAAGCCTTTAGTCCCAGCACTCAGGAGGCAAAGACAGGCGGATCTCTGTGAGTTCAAGTCCAGCTGGGGCTACAGAGAGACTTTGCTCAAAAAGACCCCCCTCCATTTTTTTTTTCATGTAAATGTTATTTCCCAGAGTTTTCTTTTGCCGTTTATAGGACAGTGTGTAGTAAATCTCAAATATGTTAAAGATTGGTAGGCACAAAGAATATCAAAAAGTCCAAGAGTCCCAGCCTTCTCTGGATGAGGCATGACATTTAATTTCCTCTTGGTTAAGAGTTCCAAGTATGCAAACTGATGGCTGGACATGAGTGGACAAGGCCTAGGTGAACTGGTGTGGCTCTAAACCTAGCTGTCAGAGACCCCCAGGCTTGGCGGTCAAGCTTGAATGCCATCTCAAGGGGGCTCACCCTCAAAGAAAAGGTCAGTGACACCCAGTCAAGCTCATCTTTCAGTGTGTCAGCAAAGCAATTATAAAGACACTGCTAATACAGTCACTGGCTCTGAAAACTAATGCAATCAAACCCAGCATGCACCTGCTGTACTGGCCTAATTACTACCCTAGATGAACAATAGTGAACACTGTTCTAGTACAACTACCAAGGAGATTGAGAAATATTCTATGGAAGTATAACAAAGTCCTCTTAAATTCATTTTACTGTTGGTTTCATGACATTGGATTGCCAAGCCTCCAATAAAATCTGAAGTATAAAAGTATCTAACTTATTTTTAAAGCTGTTCAACCCTGCCCCCAAATTTCCTCCCTAAGAACTTACCATGGAAACACATGTATTAAGCTGAGCGGCCCAGTGTGTGCTTTGTTATGTGTTGCTTACTGTTCAGGTAACTCAAGGCAGTTCACCTGAGGGGCACAGAACCAGACTTCTCAGTCTAGGTCAGGACCCCACCATGTGTCAGCTGCATGACTTAACCCTTGCTAGGCTTCCTCTCTATCTGTAACAGTGCCCACCACACAAGATGGTCCTAGGGACTAAATATAATAATGCACAGAGCACACAGGTCTGCCTAGCACATAAGTGTCAACAGAGACTACGCCAGAGTGGTGATAATCTCTACATGTCAAATCCCCACAGGACAGTAGGCAAGACAGGAACACTTTCACGGGTTCCTCCTCCCAGGAAGCAGCTGCTGTGAAAGCAAGCTCATCATTTGCACCTGAAGTCACTCCACTTGTGACCTTTACTTCTTTCCTGGAAAATGGAAAGACTAAACAGCAAGGGTTCTTTCTTTAAAAAAAAAAGAAAACAGGGTCCCTTGAGACGGCTCAGTAGGTAAAGGGCTTATTGCACAAGCTTGATGACTTGAGTTCAATCCCAGTATCCACACATGTTCAGAGATTGGCTAGACTGTGTGGCCAGCAAGTTCCAGGAATCTGCCTATTCTGCCCTCCCAGAGGTGAGGCTACAGGTGCATGCGGCCATGCTTGACTTTTTATGTGTGTACTGGGGATCCAAACTCAGGTCCTCTTGTACTGCTGAGCCATCTCCCTGGCATAATTAGAGTTTTCACAGTGATCAGGTTGTGCAAACTGTAATGGTGATTAGGGTCACCAAAGATTATGGTTCATGTTAGGAGTGGAATTAGAGGTGAACATAGAGAAAGTATTTCCAGATACTATTTTAGTGAATAGTTTCATACACCTTTCTCTCAAGAGTTATTTTTAGAAATCTTCATGGCACCTTTCCCCCTTTGCTTTTAATCTTATGTTATGGTTTTAAAAAATAAAGCATTTTTGCATAGTGAACAACAGGAAGGGCAAGGACTGCTATGTTGATAATCACAGACTTCTTGCTAATCTTCTAGCAGATTAATTTAAATCTGTGATATCCTCCTTTCAGTTCTCATATAACTCCATTTAAAAGGAGCTTTCAGCTACATAATAGGTTCAAATCCAGGCTAGGCTCCATACGACCTTGTCCACAAAATTAAAATGAAATGAACAAAGGAAGCTTTTTGAAGCTTAATTTTTTTTCTGCTTGTAAAGGAGAAAAAAAAAATCACATCACCACTTAGAAACGATGTTGGCTAATATTCTTGCTAAAACTAATGTTTCAGTGGTTTCCATTTTGTCCCAGCCCTTGTAGAGTTTTCAGATTAGGTTTTACAGTCTGCGTTTTTGCATACTTTTCCACTAAACTTCTATTATTTTTTATTAACATACATATCAAAAATACTTGTTAGACAAAATTGGTTCCACATTGTTTTACTACAGTATGCCTTTCTGATCGGAATGCCTGTTTACTGTTTTGAATAATCTATTGCTTTTATCCTTCCCAGTAGAACCCTCCATCTAGTAGCATGGTCTGCATTCTCAGATTTGCTAAAGTCTGATTTGTCTTCTGTTATTGGAGCAGAAACAGTTTTATTGCAAATTCTAGTATTAGACTCTAGTTTTATGCTTCAGTTGTGTTTTTAAAAATATGTATATATATTTTTTTATTTTATGTATATGAGTGTATTGCCTGCATGTATGTAAGTGCATCCGTGTTATGCAAGCTTGTGGAGGTCAGAGGAGGGTGTCAGATACCCTGGAACTGGAGTTACAGTTGTTAGTTGCTGTATGGATGCTGGAACCGAGCCTGGGTCCTCTGCAACAAGCAACCAGTGCTCTTAGCCTCTGAGGCATCTCTCCAGCCCTCTCAGAGGTGTTTTTAACAGGTAGGCATGTGGCTTATTTATTTGCCAGTTTTAATAAAAAGTAATTAATATGCTGTAACCTACCCATTTAAAGTATATAATTCAGTGGTTTTAGTATATTCACAGAGCAATCTGTCACCACAATAAATTTTAAAATATTTTTGACAGCCCCCCCAAAAGAAGCCCTGTGCTCATTGGCAGTCATTCCTCATGTGTTCCTAGACCCCAAATCCCCAAGTGCTAGCTGTGTTTATAAAGTGGCCTATTCTGCACATTCTTATAGAAATGTAGTTATACCATAAGTGGCCTTTTGTTACTGACTTCTTTTATGCACAGTATTTCCTGTAGCATATATCAGCACTTTATTCCTTTTTATTGTCAAATAATATTTCATTGTATGAGAATACATTTTTGGGGGGGGTCTAACTCACTGACAGCTGATGAATATTTGAGCTGCTTCCACTTTTTAGCTATCAGGAATAATGCTGCAGTGAACAGTTTTGAATACAAGGTTTTGGTGTACATGGGTTTTCATTTCCCTTGGGTATAGGATTGGTGGGTAGTGTGGTAACACTGCTTAACTTTTGGAGAAATTGCCACACTGTTTTTCAATGCAGGGTACCATTTTTTAAAAAATGACATGTGTAAATAAGGCTATAGAAGACAGCTTAGGACTCAAGTAATTGAGAAGACATACATGATTTATTTTGAAAAAATACTCTTTAAAGTGTTAAAGGTTTATGCTCCATGCTTGCGTATCTTACCTGCTATATCTCATTGCCTTAGTGGATAACAGCATCATTTTTCTTGCTTAGTTTCCCAACAGGCAACTGTTTAAAATTTTATCTCAGGATGGATAGAGATAACAAATTTTAAAGCAAAATGATTTATTTTATTAAGCAACAACAGCAATATGAGTCGTTAATCTTGACTGTGGAAATGTGATAGAGACACTGAGGAGCTTGTGACAGTGGGTGTTTCCTTCTTACCAGAGTTGTGATAAGGGACTAGCCACATACTTTAGAGAACTGGCTGGACCTCTGGTAGAGGGAAAACAATCCTGTCAGCATCCTGTTGTCTGTCAGTGCTGTGTATTCCCAAGGGCTGTATTGAAACAAAATATTTTAGGACTGGAAGGGATTCCAAGAAGTATTTTCTTCATCCCACTTTTTTGGTATGACTGAGTTTTAAACTTTGCAGAAGGATAATAGTCTATACTTCTTTTCTGGAAGTAACTACATAGAAGATTCTAAACTATTCATTGGAAGTGTTTATGCATATGGTAATTTTCAGTTTCTATTTTGAAAAATCAGTTTGTGCTGGGGAGACAGCTCAGTGGATAAAGTGCTGGGTGTGCAAGCATGAGGACCTGAGTTTGGATCCCAGCACCTGGGAGAAAAGCAGGCGCAGCAGAGCAGGTCCTCAGCGCCAGCGTTTGGGTGGAGGTGCAAGTGGGAGCAGACAAGCAGATAGACCTCCTGGAGCTCATTGGCTAGCCAGAGCCAAATCAGTGAGCTCCAAGGTGTTTGTCAATAAGGTTTTGCTTATTTGAAGGGAAATTAAGTTAGCTCAGTTTTCACAGTAAGAGTATAAATCCTTGCTACCTCAACTTTAGTTCCCTTGGCATTCATGGTGGGGCAGGATCAGCTTAAGGTTGTATTCGTTTTGTGAAGCACATGTGGTTGGTTTTTAATAGCCATACTTTTGAAAAGACATAAAACCAGCTGGAGGTTTCCATTGCATTTTAAAACAGTCCAGACTAAGAAGTCTCCACTCTCAAATTTAATAACATTCTCTTCCCTACCCTCTTTCCATAACCAAAGATTGAACTAGCTTATTTTCTTCTCACTTATCACTTGTTTTTTTCAGATTTGCCTGCCTCTGCCTCCCAAGTGCTGGAATTAAAGGCATGTGCCACCATGCCTGACTGATTTATCTTCTGTTAATAGGTATTGTGTAAGACTGAAAATAAGCACTCTGTAATTTAGTTCTTAGTATAGCAGTGAAACTAGCGTGTTGAAAAATGGAATTGGTCTGCACATTGCTAGCAGAATTCTTTTGTAGGTTTCAGAATATTTGCTCCATGTTGTGCCATGTAAAACTCCCAACTCTCACCAAGTAGCCTTCATTAGAACTTTCTGTCCCCTGCTCTTGTCCCAACACATCCATGTTCACATTTCCCTCCTCTTCCTCGCCTTGTTGGTTGGACTGCACATTTTTTTGCAGACCCTAATTACTCTCTTTAAATTTAACTAATCTCTGTAAATTTAACTAATCCTGTGTTATTTGCTGATTTCATCATTATGTGTAATGATGCAAGGAGAGGAAAAGGTTGAAATGTCCAGCTTTTAAGATTCCTAGTAGAAGCTGGGTGTGGTGGTTCGTGCCTTTAATCCCAGCACTTGGGAGGCAGAGGCAGGTGATCTCGATGAGATTGAGGCCAACTAGGTCTACATAGTGAGTTCCAGGAAGACCCTGTCTCAAAAAGACCAAAAAAAAAAGAAAAGAAAAGATTCCCAGTAGGCAGACTTAGGATATTTTTTTTTCTCAACCAAAATGCTCAGTTATTTGATGCAGATGTTGACAATTACTCGAGGCATAGTGGATATGTATTTTGCAGTATTTTTGTTCTTGGATGTCAATTTTCAAAGCATTAATAACCTCAATGAGAACTTTTTTCCTTTGGATATGTTAGGTAAGAGTTTTTTTCTAATAGAGGCTGGTGATGGTGATAGGTTTGGTTCCCAGCATCCTCTTAGGGGCTTATAACCACCTGTAACTCTAGTTCCAGAGGATGTGACACTTTCTTCTGGCCTCTGCAGGCATAAGCCACACATGTAGTATACATACGTACATGTGAGCACTCACACATAGACATAAAATCTTAAAAAGGAATTTATTATAATTGTGTTCCCGAATTTTCTGCTTTTAAATCCTAGTTCCATCCCTCCAGTGTTGTGTTTTGGTTGTAGTGTGGCTTCTAGTAACTGAAGCCATAGTTGTGTTCTACCTACTTAGTTGTTTCCCTAACTTTTGGGGTTCTTGTAATCCAGATGTATAAGCACTCACTTCCACACTCACACTTGAACATATGACAAGCAGATATTAATTATGAATCAGTAATTAATAATGAATCATCTTTCTTTCTCCAATTATTTAGCTCTGTAAGAAGCATCATTTTGGGATTAATAAAACAGAGAAGATTATACCATCTCCTGATGACTCAAAGTTTCTACTGAAGACCTTTACACATATTAAATCCAACGTGTCTGCCCCTAATAAAAAGAAAGTAAGAATTTAATTGACATCTGTTTTGAATTCATCTTTGATTAGCCGTAAGTTGAGGGGTAATTTCCTGCCAGTAAATTTATTTCCAAGTCATTTTTTTTGTATCAAAAGACTGTCTCATTTTGTCCCTGGGATTATTTGTACTTGGAAGTGTTGCATTATCCATAAACTTTACATCTGATTATTGTCATAATAGATTGGCTTGTTACAGGTTAAGGAAAGTAAAGAAAAGGAGAAGTTGGAGAGACGGTTGCTTGAGGAGTTGCTAAAGATGTTTATGGACTCTGAATCCTTCTACTATAGCTTGACTTATGACCTGACCAACTCTGTACAGAGGCAGAGCACTGGGGAGAGGAATGGCTGTCCCCTCTGGCAGAAGGTACATCTCACAGCTTGGAGCAGGTTCACCCTCTGGAACAATGGACGATCCATTTTGTGGTTTATAGGAAAACTGAAATAATGTCATTCTGAGCTGTTTTTTCTCTGCTTTCTCTAGGTTGATGACCGATTTTTTTGGAATAAGTATATGATACAAGATCTTACTGAGATTGGTGTGAGTAGCTTTTTCTAAGATATCCTGTTATAATTGTTAAGCAAATGTAAATTATATTCCCCCCTATTGAAGAGAATCATTAAACTAGGAAAAACCAAGGCATTTTTTAAAGGTAGTTTACATTCCACTACCTTGCTACTGAATATCTTTACAGCAGGTACTTACCTGGGGTGATGGCACATACCTCAGCATTATTTGGGAGGCTGAGACAGGAGAATCATCATTAGTTCAAGGCCCCTTGGGTTATAAGTACTTTCAAGTCCAGCCTAGGTTATATATTGAGATCCTGAGGAGAGAGAGAGAGGAAAAGGGGAGGGGGAGGGGAAAAAAGAGGGGAGAGGGGGAGAGGGTAAGAAGTAATTTAAAGCTATGGAACTCATGTTCATAGAGTTCCAGTAAAGATGTATTTTGGGGGCTGGAGAGATGGCTCAGTGTTTAAGAGCACTGACTGCTCTTGCAGAGGGTCCAGGTTCAATTCACAGCACCCACGCAGTGGCTAACAACCATCTATAACTCCAGTTCCAGGGGAATGCCTTCTTCTGACTTCAGTGGGCATTGCACAGTGTGGGTGCACTTAAATACATGCAGGCAATACATTCATACACATAAAATAAAAATAATAAGTCAGGTGTGGTGGCACATGCATTTCATCACAGCACTTGGGAGGCAGAGGCAGGCGAATTTCTGTGAGTTCAAGGCCAGTCTGGTCTATATAGTGAGTTCCAGGCCAACTGGGGCTACAGGAAGACCCTGTCTCTAAAAAGATCAAAAAAAGAAAAGAAAAAAGAATAAAATATTTTTTTTAAATGTATTTTGTTTATATTCCATTTATCTGAGATTGACTCTCTAAGGCCAGCCCAGTTCTTTCTACTGTGGGGTCAGGGGATTGAAATCAGGTTGTCAGGCTTGCTTCACAAGTTCTTGTACCTTCTCAGCCATCTCACTGGTCTCTTTCTGGTTTGGGGGCTACTCTTACTTTGTGTAAGAGTACTTAAGTATAGTTACTTCTTGTCTCTGTGCCAAAAATAGACAATTTCAGGGAAGAAGGGCTTATTTTGACTGACTGGTTCAGGGGAGCATGAGAAGCAGAGCAGCTCTCGTCATGGTGGGCCAGGAAGCAGAGCGAGGTGCTGCTATGCATTTTCCCCTTTTATACTGTCTGGACCTCAGACCATGAGGTGGTGCCACCCACATTCAGCTGTAGCTTTCCCTCACATGGAATTCTCTATGGAAACATGCTCCCAGATGCCCCCAGATGTGTCTCACTATCTCCTAGGTGATTCTCAGTCCAGTCTAGTTGACAATGAGGATTAATCATCATACTTATTGGAGAATTATGCCTGAAGGGCCTGCTGTGCACTGCTTATTGTTTTGACCAAACACTAGACAAAAATAGCTGACTGTGGTTGTATATCCTTTTTCTTAACCTTTCACTATTTTCCTTCTTCCCTTTTCTCCTTGTTACTGGTGGTTCATAGCAATAATTGACATGTCTCTACTGAGAATGAGACATGGGTTTGTTCTTACCTCTTTGATGCTGATCACACTATGACCCTCAAAACCCAGAGGCAGAAGATACAGGGCATTTATGATGATTATTCATCCTTATGCTGGCCATATAGAGCCCCCTTTTTTTTTTTTTTTGTCTTTTTGAAACAGAATCTCCCTGTAGCCAGATGGTCTGGAACTCACTATGGAGACCAGGCTGGCCTCAATCTCACAGAAATCTACCTTCCTCTGCTGGGTGCTGGATTACTGGCCTGTACTACCACGCCTGATAGATTTCCATCTTTACAGAGTTTTTTTCAGAACACTTTTACATTACTATTTAAAACTGATGACAGGATAAAGGTCACATATGGCAACATTTCTGTGTTTCTGTCAAGAGTTTTGCATTTATTGCTAGAACAAAAGTACAAATAGTAGGCTGGGTGTGGTGACACACACCTTTTATCCCAGGACTCAGGAGGCAGAGGCATGTGGATACTATGAGTTTGAAGCTAGTCTGATCTACATTGCGAGTTCTAGGCCAGCCAAAGTACATAGTGAGACCCTGCCACAAACAAACACACAGTATCAAAAAACAAACAGAAGTACAAATCATGAGACTAACGATAATCGTGAATGAGTGCGGGCCAGCCCTAATCTGCGTTGTTTCCAACTCCAACTTGATGGAGATTCTGCTTGCGGAGTCTAAAACAGTGAAGCTCTGAGGTGGGACTGGGAGATTTGAAGCTGATGCTGGAGCTGTGCTTGGTGATGCATGTCTGTGATCCCAGCCCTCTGGAGGCCGAGGCAGGAAGATTGTGAGTTCTAGACCAACTTGGGCTGTATAGTGAGACCCTGCCTTAAAACAAAATTCTGAGTATGCATTTTATTTTACTTTAGTGATTATGTGTTATGTGCATATGTGTTTGTGTATACAACTGCACATTTGTACACTTGTGAATGTGCATGTGGAGGTTAGAAGACAACCTCAGGTGTCCTTCCTCAGGCACTGACCAATGTAGAGACAGACTCTTTCATTGGCCTGGTGCTAAAAAAGTAGGTGAGGCTGACTGGCTTGTGAGGCTGACTGGCCTGTGAGGCCCAGGGATCTGCCTTTCTCTACCTCTCTAGCACTGTGATTACAAACTTGTGCCACCACACGTCTGGCTTTTAAAATGTGGATTCTGGGGATTGATCTCAGAACTTATGCTTACAAGGCAAGTACTTTACCAACTGAGCTTCCTCCCCAGCAATGTTTTTGAGATAGGGTCTTATGTAGCCTAGGCTGGTTGTGAACTTAATATGTAGCTGAGGATGACCGTCAACTCCTGATCCTCTTGCCTTCTCCACCTTCCAATACCTGGTTTAAAAATCTGTAATTTGAAAGACACAGAAGAGGAAATCTCTAACTTTAAACAATACTCTCCTAATTATGTTAGGTGACATTTTGTAATAAGAGATTCATGGACAGTCTTTTTATTGTTCATTTCCTATTTGGATTTTAGGTTGGTGAAGCAAGTGTTTTTCTAAAGCAGAAAATGAAATAAACCTGGTGCTGTGTTTACTCAGTTGGTAGAGTGTTTTCCTTGTATTCATGAGACCTTGTATTCAACTCCCAACACCACAAAAACAAACAAAAAACTCAACATGGTGGCACACACACCTGTAATCCCAGGTGCTTGGAGGATAAGGCAGGAGAATGACCTGAAGTTCCAAGCTCTTGCCTGGGGTGCAGAGGGAGACTACCGAAAAATAAGTAAATAGATGAATAAATACATAAGAAAAGGAAAAAATGAAAAGGATAAACCTTATGTTTCATAATGAAATGGTTATTTTATTATAAGCTTAGAGCAATTGAGGTTTAAAAATTAAATCCGAAGCTTTAGTTTTCTATACCAAGAGGAGTAATTCTAACAACTATATTCTTTAAATGTCTATGGTAGGTACTGTGCTACACTTTACATGTATTGTTCATTATTCACAACAGTCTTATGAGGCAGTAGCATTCCTTTTTCACAGAGGAGGACATTGAAGCCTAGTGAGTGGAGCTTGAGTTTGCACCCATCAGCCTGGCACCTCTACTGTGCTCCCTGCCAGTCAGCTGTTTTTGAAAAGTTACTGTAAAGAAAAGGCCTTCCCCCGCCCCCTTCCTTCCTTGGTGTTATGGCTGAATAAAAGGATTTTGCTTCTAGCAGACCGACAATCTGCTGACTGTTGTTTTGGTTTAAGAAAATAGAGGTTGCCTGTACAGAATGTAAACAACGTGACGCTCTTTGTTTCAGACTCCGGATGTGGACTTTTGGATTATCCCCATTATTCAGGGTTTTGTGCAAATTGAAGAACTTGTGGTTAATTACAACGAATCATCTGATGATGACAAAAGCAGCCCAGAGACCCCCCCTCAGGAGTCCACCTGCGTAGACAACATTCACCCACGTTTTCTAGTGGCTCTCATATCACGCCGAAGCAGGCACAGAGCAGGTGAGTGGAGGGCTAGAACAACATGCAAATCAAATCCAGGTGATGTAGGAAAGGCCGAGTTACATTGAAATGAGAATGGCAGTCACATACTTGGAAGCACAGTTAGGTCCAAATTCTCCTACTCCAAATACTGTGATGCAGTTAAGGGTGAGCAGGGAGCAGTTAGCAACCTGTGGCAGAAAAGGAGGCGTATACATCCAGAAGAGAAGAAAGTCACATGAGATGTGCTTCTAAATTCAGTGTTTTCACTAAAAGTCTGCATCAGAGGGATGAATCCTTCCAGAGTACTAGCCTTTGGGAAAACCTTTCTCTTTCATTCAGTGGAAGTACGATTCCAGTTTTTTTTAATTTTTAAAATATTTTATTATTTTTATTTATGTGTATGAGCGTATTCCCCACACATATACAAGTGTACCCATGTCGTGCTGCAAGGTCAGAACAGGGTGTCAGATACCCTGGAACTGGAGTTATGGACAGTTGTTAGCTGCCATGTGGGTGCTGGGACTTGAACTTTGGTCCTCTGCAGGAGCAGCCAGTGTTCTTAACCACTGGGCCATCTCTCCAGCCCCCTAAGATTCCAATTTTAAAAGCAGTGATGGAGCTGGGTGTGGTGGCGCATGCCTTTAATTTCAGCACTCTCGGGAGGGCAGAGGCAGGTGGCTCTTTGTGAGTTTGAGGCCAGCCTGGTCTACATAGTTCCAGGCCAGCTGGGGCTACAGGGAGACCTTGTCTCAAAAAAAAAAAAAAAAAAAAAAAAAGCAGTGATGGGTACAGCTGTGATTTTGGTAAGTTGGTATTGTTCTACCTGTCAGCTATACACAGGATAAGGTTTTCCTACAGACATTTGATTAGGAGCATAATCTAGTCAGACTAAATACATTTTTGTGTTGTGTTTGTTTTGTTGTTGTTGTTGTTGTTTTAGTTTTGGTATGTAGCCCAGGCTGGCCTTGAACTTGCAATCCCCTTGTTTCATCCTCCTGAGCCCTGGAATATCAAGTGTGTGCCACAACTCCAAACCAAACTAAATACATTTTTGGGGTGGGTCTTTTTGAGACAGGGTCTCCCTATAGCCCTAGCTGGCCCGGAACTCACTATGTAGACCAGGACCAGGCTGGCCTTGAACTCACATAGATCTGCCTACCTCTGTCTCCCGAGTGCTGGGTTTAAAGGCATGTGCCACTACACCTGGCACTAAATACATTTTTATAAGTGTTGCTGATTTCTGTTTTAATTTTCTTTCAGGAATGCGTTACAAACGAAGAGGAGTGGATAAAAACGGAAATGTTGCAAATTATGTGGAGACTGAGCAGTTAATTCATGTTCATAATCACACCCTGTCATTCATTCAAACTCGAGGCTCTGTTCCTGTTTTTTGGAGCCAGGTTGGGTATCGATATAATCCAAGACCTCAGCTAGACAAAAGTAAGCTTGTCAATTATTTGGTCTGCAAATGATGATTTTAGGGAGAATTTGAAAAATAGAAACTATGGGGTTGGAGAGATGGCTCAGCAGTTAAGAGCACTGACTGCTCTTGCAGTTCGATTCCCAGCACCCACATGGCAACTACGAACTGTTCTTAACTCCAGTTCCAGGGGAATCTGAAGTCCTCTTCTGACCTCCGCGGCATTGCATGACACGGGTGCACTCATATACATGCAGGCAATATACTCATACACGTAAAATAAAAATAATAAATAAAATATTAAAAAAATAGAAACTAGATGTGAGGTAGGTTTGAATTTACTCCATTCAAACACTAATTCTTAGGCTGGGGATGTGGCCCTAGTAGAATGAAATGCCTGACCTTGCATGAGGCCTTGTTCAGTCCCTAGCACTTAAAAAGCAACACAGAACCTCCTCTCCTCTTGCAATGTGACAACCAGGAATGAGAACAGAAAGTGGTCTCCTAGTCACAGGAGTGTTAACATCAGAAGAGGACGTCATGTACTGAATGCTGAAGTTGCTCCAGCAGTACAGTAAAATGTCTTATTTCAGAGATTTTGAACTGCTTTTGCTTTGAAGAATATTTTTTTAGAATGTTTACTTTAGAAAAGGGTGAATGTAGCCAGTGTCTGCAGAAGCAGGAAGTATTATAACAAGATGGCAGCTAACAAATCAGTGAGTATCTTTTACCCAAATGTCTCTCCATAAAGGCTGTATAAAAAAAAAATATTGAGGATTTAATTTCTTATAGTATTTTAATTTTAGTACCAGAAAACTAAGTCATTTAAATCTAGATTACTGAGTGAGGTTGCTTTAAAAAATTTTTATAGTATATTTTTCTTACCAAACTTAATTTGTATTCTTTGCAAGAATTTAGTAAAACTTCAGTCCTTTTTTAGATGGATCTTAATTTTTTCTTATTACAAGTCACAGAAGAGCCAGGCATGGTGGTGCACACCTTTAATCCCAGCACTTGGGAGGTAGAGGCAGGTGGATATCTATGAGATCAAGGTCAGCTGGGGTGAAAGGGAGACCCTGTCCCCCCCCAAAAACAAAACAAAACAAAACAAAACTAAAACCAAAAGTCATAAGAAACCTTTTCTGAAAGGTAAGATGTGTGTGTGGGGTGTGTAGGGTGTGTACATGTGTGTATTGTGTGCATGTGTGTGTGTGTGTATAGTCATAACTTCACAATTGGAACTTTGAGATATATTTTAGCTTCGTTTAGTTGGAAGAAAGAAATTTTAGTCTAGTGTGCTGGTTAGATAATCTTACATTTAAACTGCCAATTATTTAAAAGTAAGAATAAAGATGGAATAGACACTAATTTATGTCATAAATATGGGAAGGAAAATAGATTTTGTATCACTTCTTTGTAGGTGAAAAGGAAACTGTTGCCTGTTTCTGTGCCCATTTCGAAGAACAACTGAAAATTTACAAAAAACAGGTGGGCTTGATTTGTAGTAGTAAAATGTTCCTTCATATGTAGAAATGACCATGTATTTACCTGAAATTTCACATGCAGAAATGTACTGTTCATAACTAAATAGCAACATTTATCATGAAGTTTAAAAAACCCATGTGAGCTAAGACTATTCTTTGTTTTTTGTTTTTGTTTTTTGAGATAAAGTCTTGCTATATAGACACAGAGATCTGCCTGCCTCTGCTTCTCGAGTGCTGAGACTAAATGTGTGCCCTGACACTTGGCTTTTTTGTTGTTGTTAAGCTAAGAATAGTCCTAATATTCGTAAGGAAAATGGAGTCAGCTACTTTAGGTTGTTTGGATAAGATGAAGAGACTAGATGCTATCAGTCATTAGAGCAAGAAGTGTCTAGACTAGGGCTGGAGAGATAGCTCAGCAGTTAAGAACACCAGTTGTTCTTGCAGAAGATCTGGGTTCGAATCACAACACCTACATGGCAGCTAACAACTGTCCTATAGCTCCAGTTCCAGGGAATCCAACAGCCTCTTCTGTCCTCTGTGGGCATTGTATGACACGGGTGCACTTACCTACACATAAGCAATACATGCATACACATAAAATAAAAATAATAAAATATTTTTAAAAAGTGTCTAGACTAAAGTCATCTCCCAGTCTCACTCACTGCATCCTGGAGATAACAATTTGATGTATGTCTTTCAGTGTCTGTTTTTGGTTCACCTTTCTTATGTATTCACATACACATAGCAGTGCAATCACATAAAGCAAAATTGAAAACTATTAGGTGAAATACAAATTCAGTATTTTCAATACAAGATTGATATAAATAGTCACACTCTTGTCAGTTAGCAATGGCTAGTCTGACTGTACTGCCAGGGGATGTTTTTTTCTTACAGCAAGAATAAATAAAATAGAAAGAAATAACTGAAAGTATAATAAACACACAAAAAAAATCATGAATATAGAGGAGATAAAAAAGATAACTATGAAGAACAGAAAACCTGACTTAAATGAAGATAAAATACTGTGTTCCTGGAAGGGAAGGCTTAATAATGAGTGACTTCATTTCTGCCTTAATTAGTATTTAAATTTCATGAGGTTTCAAACATAGCCTCTGCAGGAAATGGGAGGAAAAGAAAAGGAGGCCCTCATATTTAAAAACTTTAGGAACTGTGGTAATAAAGGCAGATAATCACTTTTGAAAGTGGAAACTCATGTTAGATGCAGAATGGTTGGTGTAGATGTTTTGAATGGTATTGTCACTTAAGACATGGTTATACTACTGTTCAACTGTACTTTTACTTTTTGATATTCACTTTAAAACATAAAAACCTAAAGACCAATTTAAAGATTATGGATCTAAGTGTGAAAGATCAAACAGTGACGCTTTCAGGGGACAGCATAGACTATCTGACCATGGATCATAAACAGGATTTACAGAAGCACTAACCATTGTCTTCCCATGTTTTTAATGTATGATTGTATGTCAAATATTATCTATTTAACAAGGAGTAGTGCCCATTTAGGAAATAGCTATTTTTTAAACTTATTTTTATTATGTGTATGAGTGTTTGCATGTATGTAGGTGCACCATGTGCATGCAATGCCCAGAGAGGCCGGAAGAGGGCGATAGATCCTGGGAACTGGAGTTCTGGACAGTTGTGAACTGTCACGTGGGTGCTGTGAACTGAACCTGGAAGATCAGCCAGTTCTCTTAAATGATGATCTATTTCTCCAGCCCTGATATTTAATATTTTTCAAGGCATATATATATTTAAATGTCTTCTAAATACATTTTAAAAAGGTGTAGCCACAAAGAAAACTGGACAAAGAAACTGGAGAGAGTCTTTATGCAAAAGTGTATTCATAAAGTCAAAAAACATGTGAAAAGGTGCGGCACTTCGTTAGTCATCAGCGAAATGCAAATTAAAGCCATGACTCACATAATGGAGTGGGTAAAATAAAAAAGATGAGAACTACCAAGTTCAGGAAAGATGAAGAGCAGCCAGAACTTGAACAGAAAAAAATAAGATCTTCTTGAGAGAAACATGTTTCTCAAGAGTCAAGGAGGGCATAAACAAGAGCCCTGACTGCAGCGTCAGAAAAGCTGTCAGGGGACAGTGGATAAACAAAGTATAGCATATACGCAAATACTTAAAGTAGATCTGTTTGCACTGAGATGGAAAAATCTCAAAATCATGTTGTGGAGCAAGAGGAGAAAAAAATATGACAGCATATAGTAGGTTAGCATTTTTAAAATCCTACAAATAAAATTGTCAGGTTTATATATTTTTATATAGTTTTTGCCCCCCTGTTCTGTCCACACACATCTGTGCCATGAACATTTATATAGAAATACATTTACACGGGTTGAAAAGACAGATAACTGATAACAGGAGTTACCTCCAAGGAGGCCTACAGGATTGGAATGTAGTCAGGAAGGATTTGGTCTTATTCTGCATTTGAATTTCTTATAATGTGAGTTGATTCCTATATTAACAATATATGTAACTGTAACTAGTATTAGAGATATGACACAAAATTGTAAAAATAAAGCAATCCTGAGGTGTGTAAGCAGAGGAAATAACCTCTTCCCACACTCAGCTTTGCTCCCTGTTGGCTTTCACATCAATTTATAGGTGTGTGTATTGAGCAGACACTTCCTGATTTCTCACAGCACCCTGACAGTGTTCATTTATCTATCTCCTCCCTGGTAATTGCTTTCTGGGGCGATGGGCCCATGGTCGATCTGACTCAGTCCTGGTGGCGCCATTGCTCTCGCATGGGCCTGTTTGTTCATTGGCTGTTTGATCAATAAGGTATGATGTGTTAGAAGTCCCCTGGGAAGCTGCTGGAAGAAAGTGTCCTAGCTAATAAAAAGAGATGCATGAACCAGCAGTCCCCCTGTGGTTGTTATGTCTGGATTTGATGTGGAACTGTTGCAGCTATCTCAGGACTGTGAATGAACTTGTGGGAGGTTTATCCAATATGTGCTAGGGTAAAAAAGTTGGAAAGAATGGTAGAATAAAAAGATGGAAAGAACTAGTGTCCTTAATGGTATCTGGAGTCCTGAATTCAGCCACGTAGAACCATGCTGCTTCCAGACTTGTTCCGAGATTTGACTCAGGGCTTCGTTGTTTGCAGCAAGAAAACCCTTGACCCCTTGCACATTTACAATTCAAAACTTAAGTCACAAAGAGCTGTATCATATGTATTATCCTACAACTGTATTGCTTATTTACGATCTCTGGCTCTTAACCTTTTCTCCATTGGTGGACCTTTAAAATATACTAGTATCTTTAGTACCTTTTGCTATTGTAAAGTCTCCAAGCTGGGCATGGTGGTGCTTATCTATAATTCTAGCACTTGGGAGACTGAGGCAGGGGGATTGTGAGCTTGAGGCCAGCTTGGGCTATAGAGCAAGACTCTGTCTTAAAAAAAAGAAATCCCAGAAATGACAGCAAAATGACTCAGTGGGTCAAAAGCACTGGTTGAGTAAGCCTGACCGCCCGAGTTCAATCCCTGGAACCTGTGTAAAGGTAAAAGGAGAGAATGGATTCACAAAAGTTTTCTCTGACCTCTACCCTTGTGTCCTGGCATGTGAATGCAACTTGCATGTCCCCATACCCCCACTTCCTGTCCCCCTCCCCCCTCTCTTTCTCTTTCTCTCTAAATGAAAAAATAAAAGCCCCAGAAAGACCACACCAGGGCCAGTGAGATGGCTCAGATGCTAAAGGCGCTTGCTGCCCACTGTGCTAATCTGATAGTCTGAGCTCAGTCTCTGGAGCTCACAAAAAGGTGGAAGGAGAGAACCCACTCCACAAAGTTATCCTCTTACCTCCACATGTAGGCTGTGGCACATGTACCCACCCACCCACCCCCACACAGTTTGCACTCCCAGAAACAATGGGAGCCCGTTTCTATTTCCCGTACTCATCAATGCTATGTATAGTATTCATATTTACCTATATATAGGTAAAAACTACTTTTATGTTTTAAAATTTGCATTTGATTATCAACAGGGCTGTAGCATCATGCTAACTGTTTTCTTTTGTAGATTTGCCCATTGTTTTCTAGTGAATTTATATCACTCTTTATAAATTATTGATTTTAAGTGGTAGGTATATTCTCATGACCATTTCTGTATTTTTTGCAAATCTTTGCTTATAATGTCATTTGTACACAGATTTAAATTTTTTCTGTTTTTGCATCTGTTCTTCTTTTCCTTTGTGTCTGTTGATTTTTATATTAGGCTTAGAAAGTCATGTTCCAACCTACAGCTGTGGAAAAATTACCCTGAAATTTTTGGCTATTTTTTTATAATGTGAAGAAAAATATTTAGGTCATTAATATATCTAGAATTTATTTTGGGATTATTTAGGTCATTAATATATCTAGAATTTATTTTGGGTATCATTAATGGGAGATAGGGGGTCATTATAAATCTTTCCTCCTTAGAGACAGACAGTTGTCCTCAAGCCACTAATAGAATCATTTATATTTGCCAACAGTGGTATGGTTAGTGTACCCTCCCTTCTTCAGTGGTCCTTGTTCTCTAGAATCAGTTGCCTGTTTCTATTTTAGTCCCACAATCTTAATTGCTATATAGACTATATAGAATTACTCTCCAAATGGGGCAAGTCCCCTTTTATTATTAGTTTCCAAATTGTTTTCACATATTTACTCTTCCAGATGAACTTTAGAATTAACTTGTCAAGTCCATAAAAAGGTCCTGGTTGAATTTTGATTGGGATTATTGAGTGTATAGATTAATTTGGGGGAGACTTGATATCTTTACAATGTTGAACCTTGCCATTTAGCAACATGGTATGTATTCCATCTATTCAGGTTTTCTTTTATGTATTTCAGTAGTTTTATGATGTTTAGTTTGTAGATTTTTTTAAAAAAAATTATTCCAGCTATTTAAATTACTTGCTATTAAAAAGGAACATGTGTATTTTGATTATTTCAGTGCTTAGAAAAGCTATTAATACCATTGATACAAACCGTTCTCAGAAGACTAAATTATGTAACAAATTTTTAATTTTGTAAGAAAAATTGATGCTTGAGTGGATTAATTTCTAAGCATAGCTATAAAATACTTCTAAAATGTAGCTCCAAATAGATCATTAAAATCATGTTATGATTCTAACATCTAATTAATATTAATTTTTTTCTTCTTCATTCTCATAGGTTATAATTAACTTGGTAGACCAGGCTGGAAGAGAGAAAATTATTGGCGATGCTTACCTGAAGCAAGTGTTGCTCTTCAACAACTCACAACTCACTTATGTTTCCTTTGACTTCCATGAGCACTGGTAAGGTGCCTTCCTGAGAAGATCTGATCGCTTGCTGTGATTGTGTTACTTGTTGTTAAAAGGACTTAGTTTCTCTGTTCTTTCCTGGGAAGAAAAATAACTCTTAGAAAGGGAGGGAATATCATTGTTTACTTGGTTCTAATTTTCATATGCTTTATTTGGCTAAACCTTTGAGTAAGTTGTTGCCAAAATAATCACAGTCTCTCTGTTCCAAAATGCCTTGGAGACGGGGAGTTCCATTTTTTGCTTTGTTCACACTGTTGAAGATCCCATGGAGTTTCCCTTCTGCTTGGGTCTGAGCCTAGCAGAAGTGATAGACCATCCTTATAGAGCAGAGCTCCCCTGCTGGCTGTCTTCACACTCAGTTCACACTTCTGTCCCTCTGCATAAACTTCCCCAAGTTTGCTCTGAACAAGTTACAACTGGTGAATCCTTTTGATGGTACCTTTGTTTTGTGCGCTCTGAAAGCAGGGTCCTTTTGTCATATCTGATTCTGTCCTGGGTGAATTTACCTAGGTATTGGAGCTTTGTGGGGGAAAGAAGTGTCTGATCCATACAACACATTTCTCGATGTATTTGTATGTGTTTTCTTTCACTGTGTAAATTGGTTATAGAATTATTTATATAATATGTAGAATATGTAGTAATAGTAAAATCACATGCAGGTAATAACAATTATTTTTAAGATTTTTGAGCTACCTTAAATATGTCTTCTTTTTTTAAATTTTTTAAAAAATATTTTATTTATTTTTATTTT